AAATATTGCACGAAGGAAAATGTCCACTCCCAGGGCAATATGGAGCAATACACGTATATAGTTCATCAATTGAACTTGCTCGGTAGCTGAGGCAGCGTTTCTTTAGTGAGTGAACAGTGTATTTTTGCTATTCTCGAAATGACTTTTAAAAAAAAAAACAGAAAAGAGTGAGAAAAAAACTATCGTTGGTTTGTTTACTTCAGCATTAGGAGACTTTCTTATTGTTGTTCCCAAACGGGGTAGCAGTCAATCAGTGACTGTTGCTGTATTAGTTACCGATATGCGCCATTACTTTTCACAACTAGCTCTAAGTATTCTACCTGAGATTTGCTTTCCTCCAATATCCAACGATTCTCATGTATGCATTTTCTTACGGGGTCAATTCAAACAAACAGTATCGACGAGAGAAAATTCGCACTAAGGGACTAGCTCTAACGGCGCTCCATCCCTCAAGCTTCGCTTTGCACTACCTTAACTGCTCGAGTTGAAGCAGTACCCCAGATGGCCCTAAGCGCCACGTTCCTTTCTTTCTCACTGGCCTGCTTTTCCCGTACAATTCTATTTTTCTACTTCGCATCCAATCATTCTTCCAGCCAAAGCTATGGATTTCGTATCCGACAGGAGCGTAGTTTGACAGTAAGCTCACGCGTCCCGTGCAGCAGTCCTCTGTACCGCTTCCTATCAACACGCTGCGCTACCTGTCGCATCCAGGTCCGGCCCATCCGATCTCACGCATCCACAACCCTTCAACCTCCGCCCGTGGCTTATCAATTTCATGTTCCAGAACGCATTACCATCTCCTTTACCTATTCATGAGCGCTACGCATTTTCACAGGACTACGTGCACGTATTCGTCGCATCCGTAGCACAGCAATGGTAGCTGTAACAGGGGAACTCAACAGTCCCCTTCACATCGATACGCGCGGACCCACAAGATCGTTTTTGGCGACCTGACTCCCTCGACTTCGACGTTCTGTCCCATTTATCCGACCTGCCGCGCTGTACTACATTTTTTTTTGGCTTGAACAAGTTCAACGGCGATGACAGTGAAAGTACAAAAAAAAACGCGTTGAATGCGTTAGCGACGTAATAGCTCTTCGTTGCTTTCAGAATGCTCGGATCTCAAGTCCATTCTGCTCTGAAATATATTTTCTTTTGGCCCGAAACGACTGATTCAATTGATTCGGTAAGATTGAACTTGTATGAGTAAAGGGATCATGCAAGCGACCCACGAAGATTTCCACTGGCTCTCAGAGGCGTTTGTTCAGAATTTTCATTTTGTTTAGAAGTAACTTTGCAACGTATTCAATAACACACTTGCATATAATCAACATAAAAACAGAATACGAACGACTAATACAAATGTTTTGTTGCAGTTTCGACCCCTTAGCTTGCCGTACGTGTTATATAACGGCAGTCTTCAACCCAACGATATGGTGAACGCTGTTTAGCCATCGTACATAAGGTGTCAGGCTCATCAGCGGACACGCTGGCTAAGCTATATTGGCCGGTGCAATAAAAACGCGATTTATTCTTCCAGGCCAACTTCCATCTTGCGTCTATATTAGGACCAAGATATAAGCAAGCTGTTTGTTAGTCCTTAAAGAATGCATTATTAGATGTTTCCCAGATTTCCACATCTGTGGCTGTAGTGCATCACAGCGTGTCACGTTCATCCAGACTTATGCCGCTGGCTTTCATCCAAGCTGAGTCGAACCGCTAACCGCCATAGCATGAACATAAAGGCGTCACCGACAGCCTCAGGCTGGTCATACATCATTAGTGTGAACGCCTGCACGAGCTACTCCTTCTCATTCTTTCCCTCTGTGCTTCCCTCTTAGCCTCCCCCCACACTCCTTTCTCCTTCTTTAGTTTTCAAGCGTTAACAAAAGCTATCGAACTACGAGAACGGGCAAAACCAAAAAGCTGCTGAAGCCCACCACTGCGCGCTGCGATGCAAAGACTACGTAGCTCGGAAAGGCTTGATAAACCGCTATTATCCCGCATGATTTTCGGTAGGCGTCTTATTCACTAGATGGTCATCAGCTTCTGCTGCTGAAGAGGGGCGAAGACTGCGATCATGACGATTACGATGACGACGAGGGCATCAAGGACCACGGGCAGTAAACGACTCTGTCATCATTTGGTGTAGGAGAGAGACACTTGCACGTACGCGTTATTGCCCTAGGAATATGACGATCGAGAGAGAACGAGCGAATTGATGAACGGAAGATGTGCAAAGAATTGATGGAGAAAAGGATGGGAAAAACTTTATCGTGACAGCGCGATGCCTTTGGCCAAATACGTTAAGCGCATAAGTATGTGAAACTGATGGAGTCCTTAGTGCTATATAAAATTAGAATCTATGGGACATTCGTAGATAGTTTCCCATACAGAGGTTTATGAAAATCAATGTTAGTCTAGCAGATCACAGCTTGCCTTTAGGGAAGGTGGTGTTTTAAAGATCAATAGGTATTGCTGCCTAATTTTTCATGACGCTGGTTATACAAAGCTTGGTCGTTCTGTCAGTGAACTAATTTCAAGCAATCTGTATGCCTATGCAATGTGAGACCGAGTGAACCCTGTATTGAGGCATACACTTCAACACAAAGATGCTCGATGCGTTTTTAGTTTACTCTTCCACAAAAAAGTAGAGATACGCGTGAAAGAAACGCTTTAAACACGGTTGAACCAGCATATATGCTATATTCGGTTGTAACACATTGTTTTTAATACTTTTGTACTGATCCGTTTCTCCCGAGGAAACTAGGCATTCATTTGAGTAGATGAGTGTGAGCCAATAAAAAACATCTCACTTCGATATATAAATATAAATTTCGATTTCAGCCCTAAATACAGCCTAGTAGCCCCACTCAGCTCTAGGGTAAATACCGACCGAATGCTGGAATAGGAAAGAGGGAAGGACCCAGCAAATAGACATCTAGCGAATTGAGGGCTTCCGGTAATAAAGATGATAGAAGTGAGCGCAAAGGGCTTCACGACGCAATAGGAGGACGAAAGTGGGGTCAAGCGTTTCGCCACTCTTGGTCTCGTGTGGTCTCCAATCATGGGCACGGCATATACGACTATACACACACACACATCCATACGCAACCGCTGCTCTGCTCGCCCCGTTGCAATCTCTTATCTCAATTACTGCGACAGTAAGGGCGGCTTCGTGTAGATAGGCCACTGTAGAGGAGTGCATTCGGAGATGTAGGTGCGTCTCTGTCTACCTGAAAGGGCGCTGAATCGATGGCTGATGTCAGCGAATAACTATATTTTATTATGTAGGTATTTCATTGACCAATATGTGAACGTATTATTCAATCGCCATAGCCTTATGCTAACATGGAGCGTAGTATCTACGCGTTTTTAGCTTGGCTTTCATAGCATGATTCTCTAGATAGAAAAACATAGATGATGTTTTAAGTAAGCCACATCGATGTCTGATACATCGTGTCGGCGTGTAAACGTTCTGACTACGGTTGCTGTGCCGATGTCCCATGGGCACTCATCGGGTCTTGCAAAGGCCACTGATGCTGCGCTTTCTGTGCCACCTGCACGTCGCCGTCTGTCTCTTTCGTGAAACGGTACTAACTATTTGAAGATTTTCATTTTTCGCTGAAAGCAGAGCAATTGTCTCTACGTACTTGTAGACTTCCCGATCTAAACTGATATAACGACGCTGTATATCAGTTTTGATACCCAGAATAACACGACCCCGTCGACAATGGCTATCAGTATCAGCGCAGAGCATCAACCATGATACGTAGTCGGCACCGTTGGCGCGCATTACGACAACGTCATTTGATGAGGATTTTTCTCACTACTACTGCTGCTGCGAGGGGCAAAGACTAGCGTTAATTCGGCTGTTTTCACTCTACCGGAGCAAGGGCGGCATTGGACAGAAATCACAGACGACCAGGCTGTGAAGGGTCATTAGAATTATGCGTCATTTAACGTTTTTGTTATTCCGGTGTATTTCTGGATGACATTTTTTGTCGCACATGGGCTCGTTAAGAATACACTTCCTCTGCCTTTATCTATGAATAGCTAATGGCTACACAGGGCGTAAAACAACCGTTGTGTACATGTTCTGAACAGCCTCCATAGTGGATGAACGTATAACAATTTACTCTTCCTATACTGTCGAATATGCCATCAAATATTACTAGTGCATATACACAATATAAAATTCTTTACACAACCGAAACGTGCGGCATCTTACTGAGCTCGTCATATGGGCGTCAGTGTGTGAATAGTGCTGCACGTATCTTAGCAAGTACGATAATTATTTCTGATCGTGGAACGAGGTTTCCCAGTATCGCTATGGTTGAAGCAAGGTTATACCTACGGTCTTGCGCTTTTCACTGAGGCGAACCTTCCTTGGCTTTGCTCTCTAGTTGCTTCAGCTATGACGGTCCTGTTTCCCACTTTCCTATGTTTCCTATTCGTTCCTTTCGTGCATCCTTATGAACACGTCGATCTGGTCGGGTGGAAGTGGAAGACTGGTGCCAAAGCTACGGACTGCGCTATACAATCCTACTGCTGATGCTGATCGCTGCATCAGCTTACGCACCAGCACCGTCCCCTTTGCCTCGTACGTATTATTCGCTATCGTTATAGTCCTCGTCTCTTGTATATGTATCTATATACGAGAGGCATATACATGCGGGCCTTTTGTCGACCGGTCGTTCATCCGCAAAATACTATTAGCTTAGTGCTGCTGCTGTCAGGTCCACTCGACCTATCCGGCCTTTCTGCGCACGCTCCGAACATGACTGTTTGCCATGTTCAAAAGTCACTGAAGCCGTAATGGCTATAGAGCCAACAGCATTGGCAAGCATGGGCCCAATGCATGTGTGTACCGCACGACAACACTTAGTGCACACACTACATAATTGATGGAATGGGAGAACGAAGCCACGCATGAGGATGAACTCGTACCGTGCGGCGATTTTTCTAGTACTTATCACTTTTGACTTCAAAAAACTTACCTTTTTTTCGTTGCAGCTGTTGTTACGGTGGTTACAGTAACTTGTGTTAATGGCGCGGTCATCAAGAATACAACAACGACAACAAAGATAAACACATAGTATCATAACGCACAGATACACACACCCAGCACCCGAGTCGATGATTCCTCTTTGAACACCAACAAATAACAGCAACTACGCTTTTGTTAGCTCTATTTTTCCTTTTGGCTCTGGTTCTCTACTATGTGTTTCTATATAGATGTTGAATGAACCAAACAGGTAACGGAGATTAGCAGTTCACATATTCCAATGGCAAATAGGTAGATTGGGATAAGGAAGGCTTTTCCGGGGGAAACATGTACAAAAACAAACCGCAGAAGGAAGATGCGATGGTCAAGTCGAATATCGCTTACGGACTGCTGGATACGTCGGTTGGTTCGTATTGGCGCTCGTACGGTCGATAAGTCACCCACCTTAACGGTAGAGTATAGGCAGCTGGCGTTTAGACAATTTCGCAATGGTACGCTCCACAGCACATAGACAATAGATCGATGTAAGAAGCGGATATGAAGTGCCTTATTTTTTCGGCGAACTGCGACCCCTGGCTAGCACCATTTACACTATCATCGGAATGATTATAAGACAGCCGTTAATGCCATTCTTATGTACGAGTGTGTCTTCATTTTCCTGCTGAATCATAAGAATGCCCCCTCCCGCTCGTATTGCAGACTATATATTTTAGTTGGAGGTCAGCCCAGTCGTTAGCATTAATGATACAGATGTTAATGCTTATTGCGGTTGCTGGTCAATTTAGTGACGATTTACTAGTCACGCGAGATCATCGGTAAATCATTGTATTCCACTTTTACTTTTTGCTTATCTTTCTTTCTTTATTATTGCCATACGAATTCATACACGTTGAGCTCAAAATGTTCTACGCAAATATTTCAACCACAGCGGCAAGAAATAGAATTCGATGTTATCTAGCTTATAAAATCCACAAAAACGCCACGATCCGGCAGTGCGAAGGAGGACATAAATCCAAAGGATTCGAGGTTGATACTTCCACGTTTTATTAATTTTGCTTTCACGCACACACTCTTCACGTATGCACGTATATCCTAAAGCGTCATACACGTGCCGTTTAAGAAATTTTTACCTTTCTACCTTTGTATATATATATATATATATATATATATATATATATATATATATATAGATAGATGGATATTGCTTACGTCTATGTGCTCAGACGAGCGTTTTCGTTATGTTCTTCTTTTGTTCCGTATACGCCCCTGTAGGCCTCTGTAGTTGGCTACCTAATTATGCACATTGGTCGTGCTTTTGTATGATTGCAGCACGATGAAGTACACGTTGCACATTACACTCAATTCGTAATCCTTGTTGACGCCGGTAGTTGTCAAAGGTAGCCGTTCTGCTTTCCTTTTTACAATGAACATTCTGGTTATGTTGTTATTTTTCCGTTTCGGCCGCCGGTCATCATCTTATTCAGTTGTCCTAATCGACGTCATCATAGCTAGTGACCGGCCAATAACGTGCGCTGCGGTATCTTCAGCAGTGTTTTTTTGTTGCTGGCGTAAAATTGTGCCCGGACAGTGCACGACGCGATGTTGACAAGGCGCTGCAATGAATGGCAAAACAATCGCGCACAGACGGGGCGGGCTCGTGACAGGCCCCTGCCGACCCATACGTTGGCACTAGCAACGATATCAGTAGGAAAGACAGCATTTGACTGTGGCAAAACTGGAGAAAAGGCAACACAATCGCCAACTGACCTAACACCGACACGCTGAACCCTTCAAACCTTCAAGGGTACTGGCTTCAGTCTGCTCGTCCGGCGCATGTTGCCACCCGGCGCGACCAGAGGGCAGCACCGGCGGCCCGCTGGGAAAGTGCGCTTGGACTGGGAAAGGGCATGGACTGAATGGGTAAGTTTATGAGATTGTAGACGAACCAATGAGCCAAAGCGGCAGCAGCAGCGAGAGCTGCCAGCGCGTGCTTCCCATTCCCGTCTCCGTTCGCTCTTTCCTCCACCCCTAAACCCCTGAAGCCTAATCCCTCCAATTCGCCATTTTCTTTCGCTCTCTCCCTCTCTCTGTCTACACGTGCGGGGAAACATTCCTACCGTTCCATCTCCGTCTCTTCACCAGCTCCAGTAAGAGCCCGGAGCTAGCCGAGGTCGAACCGGGGCCGCCTAGCTGAGTACTACCCCCCCCCCCCCTTCCTCCCCCCTCAAAGGCCCGGGTTGCTGCTCACACCCACACAGGCGTCATGCTCAGCTAGTATAGCCGTACGGACAGCGGTTGAGGCATACAGCAGCAAACTAAATTGACAGGACTCAAAATGACATTGGGTGGTTTATAGCGGCCACACTAAGTGTGTGGTTGATCTACATATGCTGTACATACAGACGTTCACAGACATACATGCACACACATATCTGCGTATATGTGTGCAGGCGTAGTTAGTTAGACATAAAAGTACGTCATGATCCCTCAAGACGGCTGATGAAAAGCCTTGTTGTGATAGATCATTGGAATAGACCTACGGAAAAGGACATTGTTCCTCGATTCAATAAATGCCTTTATACGGATGCCGTTGGTGAGAGCTCGTCCAGTAGTTGGCAGGGAGCGAATATATGAAGGAAACGTTTTGTGGGTTAGAATGGTACGCGATGAATTAAGACATTCACTTAATATAATAGTTCCTGGGTTACTATTTGGCTGGTAGGTTGGATTGCACACCATCTTATGTAATATTATAAACTGTGCATCAAGTCTACTTTGTGTAAACAATTATATTTGAGCCAACATCGTTATTTGTTTGCTCACACGTGTTGTATAGCAAGTAGTAACGGTAGAGCTAGTTTGGCCTTTTCATTCAGCCTTGTCAAATATGCACTTTATTACTATCATATCGCCAACGACAAACATTGCCATTGAGTGAAATGTAAGTGTGCAAGCGTATAATATAAGCCAGATAATTATCAGGTGATAATACGATCAACACAAATAGTAGCCAAGATATGCTACAGGACATGTTTTTTACATAGTCAATCGCAAGGGGCTTCGGTATTAACGTCCTACCTTTGAACAATACTAAAAGGAAAAGTCCAGTAGCACGAACTTCAGTGGTTGAAATTGTTACAGCTAAAGCAATATGTTCAAAAATCACGCATTGAGTATACACGATCTTTTATTAAAAGGCTGGACAAGCTCAAGATCCTGATTCACTGCGCTAGTGACATCGTTTCCCCCAGTGGTGCTTGTAAACATTATCTTGATACTTTAAAAAAAGAGTATTCGATTTATTATGAAAAGGATCCTTAGCAAAACAATACGAATAGCTAAATAGCTGGTTAACGGAATTAGATAGCCACGATCGAAAGTCATTGTGTTCGTACTGATGTAGACTTTAGACGCGGCAGCTCAGGAACACCTATTAAACGTAGTTTAATTTATTTAAATAGGCGTTCTAGCTAAATATTAAGTTGCGTCAGCTAGAAGTAATGTGATGTAACGGTTTGTTATAGGCGCTTTTGATATTTTCGTTCGGAATCAATCTACCGCAAATCGCTTCTGCCTTCGTCTGTTCCGTTCCTTCTGTAATATAAGCAACATTACGGTCCTACCACCGGCCTAAAAAACTCGCTATCAATTTGAATCTCGTATTCTGCCTTTTGTTGTCTAGGACTGAAAGTTTGTTGTCACTGATACATTTAAGCTAGATGTGTACATGACTTGGTAAAAGCCGATCTGACTGCGTGGTAATACTCGATACTGAAGCAGGTTTTTTGATGCATATATATACGAAGAACCTTAGGTTTAACGAACATTTTGAATCTAACTGTCGACAGAACATAGCTACTACAAGTGTAGTCACGTGGAGTAGTTCAATGGACGGCAACGTTATTTACCCTTTCGGTATATGTTACACATAAATACATGTATTAAACAGAGTTTAGAACATGCACAAATAGCTGATTAGGCAAATGAGGCGCTTAAATAGAAAGGCTTTGAATCGAGTGCATAAATCTGGTCCTTCTTTTGCAACATCCTCTTCTAGGTTGGTAATTGTGGCTTATGTGCTTCACTGACCATATTAATAATCAAAGCCTTGCTCAAATGCATCGTCATAATGCTGGATCATTAACGTAATGGGTTTGTAAATGACCACTCGTATTATAAGAACGTATACGACGAGCACTTAGGTACGTACGCTGCTAACTTGCAAGTATATTTACTAAGAAAATAGACAGGTCTAACTAGACTGGATCTAACTAATTAGATCTAATTTGTTATTCTATTACTTAGTAGGATGTTATAAAAATGGCTGAACAAAACGATACCTTGACAATATGGCTCTGCTCGGATTTTTATGTGACGCCTTCGAAACATTTCATATAATGTCTGATATAATTTACATAAGGTTTTACGTAGGAACTTTTTGTCGTGCACCTAGGTAGGAGAATGGGTCCATGTATGTGTCATGACGAAGTGACTATGAATATTGATCCTGGCCTAGTTTTATGGACCAAGCTGGACCACTGTGGTCACCAACCTTACATTGTCCTTTCATGACTAGCCTGAAGTTCCTTCAGCCCGGCTAGAAGTGCCCGGACTCGCTCGTATCTTCAATCTCCAATAATAAAATGCAGATTCTAATGCTGAGTACGCCGTGATCAGCAGCCATTACGCGTTATCGCTGCTTAATAAGGCTTTATATCATATGCCTAACGTCTGTGCATGTAGGCTATCATGTTGTGCCCTTCTTGGGGCAGCCTCATCAAGTAAAGGACAGCGGAGAGCGTGATCTTTTTACTTTCTAAGTGAAGCGCTTCAGTAATATAGCTGTGAGGTGCTTAGGCACCTAAGGCAGTATAACGGTGCAGCTGCTCTGCTGATTAGAGCTAAACTCCACGTTTTCGAAAATTGTATAGTCGTCGCCGTGTAGATAAACGTACATCCGAACGATGAGTATTAAAAAAAATACCTGGATACCTTAGCTTTATATTACAACGTCTTAAGTATTAAGGGGTCGGTTCCATATATAATTTTATTATTTGAAGATCATCGGTAGGGATTACGATATTTAAAAATGTCTCTTGCGTTTTACGTCCGTACATAAACTGGTAAGCGTTACTTCAGACCACTAACTTTCAGACGGCTGATAGGAACACTATGTTTGACATCGGTAACCAGCCGTCCGATGGAGTGCCTAACGGCGTTACCGGACGTGAAAGTCGAGGCGTTTAAGATTACAATTACTTACACAGCAAAACAATTTGCTATTTGATGCTAACCAAAGTGTTCGCTAAGAAACCACAGGGCAACTTTGAAAATAGGCCGATAAGTTGATTCAGAACTTTTTACCGCTGCGACTAATAGGCACAATTTCTATACTATTATGTTCGAAACGGTTACGTAGAGTGAATGATTCACGAATCGTTTCTAAAGCGTGCCGCTGCGTTGAAGTACCAAAAGCGTCATGTGTCTACAATTATTTTCCAGCTTCTTCGTTAGGTTAGGCCGAAGTGCCGCGCAGGGATCCATAGACCTTAACACACAGACCACCACGACGACTCCGATTGCTATCATTCTTGATCCCTGTGTTATTCATCGTCAGTATTATCATCATTCTATTTGCATACTCTACCAGGCAACCAGAACAACACATATATAGCCACCATAAACAAAAATCAACTTTGTCACGTAATCTTAAATATTTGAATTTACTATCTGTGTCATCACCTTTTTTCTTCTTCTACTCATACATCTATTATTAGGTTACTGTGTTACACAGCCGTCGGCATGGGCTGCATCTCCGAAAGGATTCGTCAAGTATATTTTTTTAACAAGGCGACTTTTTGCCATTATCCTCACTATTATGGGAATCACTATCGACGACATCGTGTCTTCTTGTATATGTCCCCATCCTTAATGGCTGCATGTCGATCATCGTACAGTCGATTTGGTACGGAGTCCCCCGCTGTGCACTCTTCATATTTCGTTCTGTCGAATCAATTTTATACTAAAACGCTATAGCAGTATAATTCAAGCAACACGAAACAAAATCTCAGAAATGGGCGAGAGAAAGAGAGGAAGAATAGCAGGGCTCAGGGAGAGAGCGAAACAGGACATCGTCGAGGAAGCACAAGGTTCGCTCAGTACTGAACGCCGCTGCAGACTTTCGTGTTATCTTATCATAGGTGGCGGTCCCCTTTATCATCATCAACTTTATAATCGGTAAATCATTGCCATCATTATTATTCTTTGGTCGCTTGGGCTGTGGCCGCCTTGATGGTGTGGTTATCGCTACTGTGCGACGGCAACACGAGAAGAGAAAAGGGCGATGTAAAAAAAAGGAAAGATACGTTGTTTCTGACTAATAAAAAAGGACGAGCCTAACCCCATAGGGCCTTTCGCATTGGGCTAATGCGACTACGAAAAAAAACCAAAGATAAAAGTTGATTGGACAAGGAAAAGCAGAAGCAATACTTCTCTTGGCTTTGAGTCGGGCTTGTTGTATTTTTACGACATATCGTTATGATCAGAGGTCGCATTAAAGTACTGTTTGATCCCCTTTAAATACCTTTCCTAAGCGCTTTCGCAACGGGGTATTTTTCAAGTTTCAGATAGTCAATGTATGAATGTATTGAGTTGTTTCGTCCAGCGCTGCCGTTAAGCGTTGCTTTAGAGGGATAGCGGCTTCCAGAACAAGTCGTCCGCTTTCGAACCTAGACCACCTCGTATATCCCTAAGTTTAGTAGGCGAACACGTTCCCAGTACACCATCACGGGCGTTAAATTTTAGACGGTCGAACGCTAGTCAGATCCTGCGCGCTAGTCATCAACGAAGGAATGGTTCTAAAATAGGGCTACCTAGTGGAAATCGCCGGAACGGAAAAACGAACTGGGGTTGATGCAGCAGTTGACGCCAGTGGCTAGAGGAAAGTTATAGAAAGCTGTTGTTATATGGGCATTGGGATACGAAGCAGCTACTTCGTCGTATATTAGTGAAGGTCAGCTGCACTGAATTTATGAAAGCCTCTCGCAACGTGGCATCCAAGCAAACGACTATAAACTACCGGCGAAGATCGCCTCGAGAATTAACGATGCTTAATGCCAATATAAGACTAGAAAAAAGTGGTGTGATCGCAAGAAGCTACGGCGAATAGAGTAATCACGATAGTGTGATGGTCGATGACACGTCAGAACGACTAAAAGTCCAGGAGGTGACGCAGCTGCACGCTGTTGTAACGGTGTCGAAGAATCAATAGTCAGCCGATAGACTCATAAGGCATCGCTCTTCAAAGTTGAATATCAAAGAGCGCATGGCATTTACTGCGACGAAGTCGTCAGCCTTCCACAGGAGTCACGATGAAAACAAACAAAGCATCGACAACGACGAGACGCCGATGTAAAATTTCGTACGCTTGCTGGTTCTTAAAAGAGTTGATAGTGGGTCATGACTTTCAACTGCGACAGCCGAAGGCGCTAGGGCGGTCAGCTGAAAAAATCATTCCGTGAGCTGTACTCTGAGATTCAATTGAATCATGAGCATTTCTATCGGCATTGGAAGGCCGCTTAAATTTGAGAGTTCTCGAGACTGCCGGGGCTGATAGGACATGGAGGAGGTGTAACGCGTCTAAATAAAAAAATATATAATTTTTTGAGCACTAATAAATACGGAAAATGTACGTTTTTTCGTGTCCTTCTCTATTGAAACGGTATCGTCGTGACGTCCTTCGCCTCTTCGAAGTGTTGTTACACATAACGTTTTTGTATCAGGACTATTCTACGATAGAGTTGCGAACTGTTTTGTTATCATGGCTTTTGGTGTCGATTATAAGGAACACGTGTAGTGCTGACGCAGCACTTAATTAACACTAAGCACATGAAAGAAGTACGTTCTTATATGCATATCGTGTATTTACGGAGTAAACATAGGTGAATACGTTGATGCAACTGAAGTTTACACTTATCTGCTGATTTTGTGTTTACTAGCAGTGTTTCCTGCCACATACATACATACATACATACACAGACTGCATACACTATTATATGCGATGCGTTATGTAAATAGACATTACATTAGTACGAAAGGGTGAGCGTGACATTCTAGCAGTAACCAAGCTAGAAGACAAATGAACCAGTCAATGGTAATAATGTTCTAAAAACAAAAAGCACACACATAATACAGACAGGCATACAACAACGTATTATTAATCATATGATTATGAGACCGAGGCCCCGTTGGTGGTAGAATCCACACAGGCGCAGCAGTTACTATTTGACAGGCTCACGCTATCCTTCTCCTTAGCCTCGTCCGTTACCTTAACCAGACCTGGTCTGCTTGATAAGAGAACTGAAGTCGTTGGAACCGCATGTCCATGAAGTGCACAAACAAAAGCGTGAATATATAAACATGAGAGCATATAATTCCTGTAAATTTATCGTATGTCTAGAACTCCAGACACGTAAAAACGGCCCGTTCCAATTAATTGTGTGCCTTTGACTGCTGTTTATTCTGCAACACAACTGTGCGACGCGACGTTATGCCGCGCTTGCCTCTGTTATGCTCCTATTAGTAGTATATAAATAAATCATACTGGCCACAAACAAAGACCTTATGAGACTCTCGTTTAATGTAGATTGGTCCGATTTTGGTCAATGAGCATCTTTAAAAAACTCATCATTGATACCTTACAAACAAAATCGTTTAAAAAGGAACCATGTTAAAATATCATGCATGAAAATCCTATTTAAGCAGAACTATCATTTAACCGAACACATTAACCAATGCTTGTATCTAATTTCGGTATATAATAATAACAATTATTATTATTTGATTATTATATCGAATGCGTTATGCAGTTGTTGTTTATAATGCCACTTAATATAAATCAACGCCTTCTCCTTCATAATAGTAAAAAAAAAAATGGTTGAGTTCTTGCTGTGAGAGCTGTATATATTCTTAACGTATTGGTGCTACATAGGTTGCCGGATTTCGTAGTAATCTTCACACACTCAAGGCTCCATATCGCGAGTCGAAGAGCGGAGTTCCAGGACACCGCACAGGCGCTTTCGTTGCCGGCCGACAGATTTATGCTATCTTGCCCATTAGCCTCGGGTGCTACTTCATCCCGAGCTGCTTCCGCTTGTTGACGATGCCGAAGCCACTGGAATATAATGTACATCTAATTAAATAAAGACCCTTATTTACTATGCATCGGTTAATAAATTCAGTTGAAGTCATTCGAACTAGACTCCTTCGCAGCTGACAGGTTCAGGGCATTCGTTACCGTGAATGAGACCGGAGTATGTCTATGTGCTACGGTGTTAAAGGGCCATCTACATACACTCAAAGCTTTTTTCACTAACTCTTCATACGGATCTTTTTTAAGGTCCAGAACTGAAGAAGACATCGTAAACTTTGGTGTAGCATTTCTAATTAGATGTATTGTAGCCTAAACATGAATCAATAAACAAGCAACGTAGACTTTTCAGTAATTTTCTAGCTTCGTTACATCGATTTTAGTCAGATTTAGCTTGGCTTTGAATTTGCCGTTTTCGCTGTCGGTAGGTTAAGAAATCGGAACGGCATTAACAAGTCCTCCATAGTTCATATGAGGCTTCTCAGCCAAGTAAAATGTTTAAGAAGATTCAGGTCCGTTTCATCAAGTACTATTTGCTCCACAAAATATCGATACATCAAATAAAGTATGGAATGCTGGTCGATGTGCCGGCCACTTCAAGACTTCGATCGGCTTCGATGAACTAACTATCCGTCTGCGTCACCTTAAAGCTGCGCAACTGCAAATTAATTGAAATTCTGACGTATTTCTATGATATAAGCTAGCAATAAATACGTTACATTTGTATAAAATTTGATTTTTCTATTCTTATTATGCTCCACGTACATAGGTTAGTGTACGTGTATATATGTCATTTTTCAGTAGAGAAGGGAACTGGAAATTGAATCTTATTTCTCCTGCTTGATTGCCGAATAGGCCCTGGTAAAACCGATGACTTGGCGGTGATCTTGTATGAGAGCTGTCAGTGTTGTTGTAGTCAATGGTTGTTTAAGATCTTAGAAGAGCGGGCTGTCTCTGATCTTTCGAACCGTAGACCGTTTTTTTGATGGGTTGTGCATCTGCTCCATAAATATCTTCCAAGTCCTTATGGCATCACAAACAGCCATTCCCACCTCTATAAGAAAGAAGATAGTATACGTATGATGGTACTACAAGCGTTCCGCGTTTCTCTAGCAGCTTTTTTACATTTTCGGATTTTGAACGATAACCAATCATATTTTCTTGGTTATTCATTTAAATTATAGTTGAAGACTCCAACTGGGCATATACCAAAACCTCATCATCTGTTTTCATCACTGGTCGAGTTTTACGTTCGGCATCCCCATTAGGTGTTTTACCACATGACTAGCTTCTAGTTTGTCTATGCTTGCACTCAAACTTAGACCACAATGTATTTCTAAGATCTCACCTCCTTCACGATCAACTAAAAAAGGCAAACAATCTCGTAATCTGTGCTGCGATACATAGTGTCGTCGTTGAATCGAGCTAAAAACATGGTATAACTTTGCTTATCAACGTGGCAAGTGCTTGTATCGATCTATCTGTCACCAGGGTCACGAAAATAGTGTTTCTTTTAGGAATAGACCATACGCTTTTTATTTCTAGTGCTTTGCTGACCGTGTTTGGAGAACGGAGTTTAATTCGTACGTATGGGTGAATTTTCTTCGAGATATTTAAGATAAAAAAATTTTACTGAATTTTGAAGGAACGATTATAGTACTACTGTTTTTTTATGTCAATGTCGAGCTTCAACGGAATCTAATGCCTACTCCTAAATTATTTGTTATATAATTGCGATTTCTCGTTGTTTTCATTGCTTTATGTATAAACAGGCTTCGTGGTTTCATATTCGACTTTTTTAGTATTAGTTTTCTCCTGAAATGACCGATTGCCATGCAACGATGATTAGTCGGTATGCAACAATGATATGTATTGATGCGTATTGCCCTAAAGGCGAAGCCACTTCTTGGGCTTTAAACTCTTCTTTGGTTATAAACCCTAGACAATCTTCTGCTTGACATTTTGCTCTCCGAAGCTATCCTGTAGCTCTACTCCGAATTGTGCCGAGCACGTGTGGCAGTTCCATTAACTGCTCGCAACTATAGGTTGCGTGACGATTCGCCGTGCAAGCGGGACCCATATTCTTGGTCAAAAATGTTCTATTAAGTTATTCTTGAAAAATGACTATCGTTTCGGTAAGTCAATGATTCTCAAGCTCAGCAACGGTAGTCTTGTTCTATTATTAAACTTTCTTTTTGGTTGCCACTTGAAGACCATAATAGATTGGGGACACTTCATTATGGAACATTCCTAGACAGAATTTATTTGATTTTTTTATTTCTACCTGCGGGTTATCGATTAATATGTTAGACCGCCCAGTAGAAGACAATCTGACTTTATAAAGACCTGATAAATATTGTTACATTTTGGTCACCTGGTTTACGCATTCTCTACTTAGATTATTAGTCTCCAAAGTATGTACTGACTAGAAATTGAACGGGTACTACTTACAAATTAGAGGAGTTCACGAACAGGCACCAAATTGGTCGATCTTATAGCAGTTCCAAACGGAATGATCTCGAACAAAAATTCGTTTATCTAGAACCAGTAAATGCTGAACTTAGCTCCATCAATGATGCTAATATATGCTAAAATTGGTTATTTTAGTAGTCTATATTACAATCTAGAACCTGTCACAATAGTAGTATACCATAGCATGGCATCATCAAGTGGCAGTTTTGGAATTTTCACGGAATTTATCTCGCCGGATTTATTCTCCGTAGAGAGTGAAGACGTTGCGGGATGGCAGGTGAAAGGAGCGAACGAGAGTAGGGAGCGCGAACGTTTAGTCTACGGTAGAAGGCGCGGCTTATTATTAGGATACTAGTGCCAAAGACTTCTTGCCCTCATAACTTCACTCCCCTAGCCTGTTCTGTTGCTTCGGCTGTCCTTAGGGGGACATTGAGCAGTGGAGACTTTAGACCCATGAATCCCGATGGGGGAGTTAGGTCGACGCCAAACCTCCATCGCCTAGCTTCGGTTGCCGGCAGTTGTCGCACCGGCCGCTCTTGTAGCAGTAGAAGCAAGAAGGAAGCCTCGAGGCTTGCATCAAATGGATTTGCTTTGTAACTGCCAATCAACCGGGGCTGGACTTGCCTTAGATGAAGCAGACCCTTGAGAGGCTGAGGGGAAAGCAGACGTCGCGACATATACGAAAGGAAATAAAAGAGAGATAGCGAGGATGAAGGCCGAAAGGGGCTTGTTAAAGTGTCTTACTTGCCCAGTCTGTGCGATTGTACGAAGTGAAACAAGACACACAACAATGGCAAGTGGCACGTTTAGCAGGATCAACCCCTGCCACCATCTCCACCGTTTTCCCGCCGTAGCCGACAAGATCGAGTCCACGGGATTAGGATCACTCACTGGTGGCCCACAGTCGAACAACGAAGTACCAAGTGCAGCTACGAGGGAAGAGGGAAAAAGGGCTCCGCTTAGGATTAGATCTGCGCTAGATCGGGCCCATCAGCTGTCGCCGGCCGGCTGACTGTTCCGCTGAGGTCCTTCGCTACCGCTCTGCGTAATCAGAGTAGGGAAACGCAAAAGGAAAGTTCGTTTATTTTTGGTGACGCCAGCCAGCAAGGAAAACACAGTGGACAAAACAGCGGACAATGAGGGGAACCTCCGATAGATGCTGCTACACTCCGCTTCCTTTTTCTGTTAAACGTTAGGTCTCTGGCTTCTAACTTCTGGATTCGTTGTGCTATGTTCCTGGGCTTTCGTTGTTTAAGCTTGAAGTTGGATTCCCCAAGGATTGCTGACTGCAAGCCGACAATCGAGCGACTTGAAGTCCACGAAAAAGCTTGAGCGAGCTTTTTCTAAGCAAAACGCCGGCAATGTGTCTAGACCATTGGCAGTCATAGAACTGCTTTTTGCGTTCTTTGCCTGCGTTCCTCCTGCGCTAAAAGTGCATGGAACGCAGAAAAGGGACTAAAAGAAGCACGTTAGGGTGAAACTTTTAGAAAAAGGCTAAAAATCCGTCACCGTTGGGGGATTACCTTAACTAAACGGGATCTAGCTGGCAGACAGGCTTGCAAGTTAGGCGCAAAGATCTTGCCACTACCTGTGAGAGAGAGCTTGGGACGCCGACGTACAGCAAAATGGTATGGTTTGCGACAGGCTGACGAAAGACGCCATGTGAAACGTAAAACGTCCATGACCAGAGGCGGCAAAAATGGAACGGAAGAGCCTAAGTGATGAGAGAAACGAAGACAAAGCATAAAGAAGAAAAAAATAAAAGAGGAAGTCGACAGAGGTTGCAAAGTAACAGGGAACGAAAATCCCGCCTTACCTGGCGGTCGACAGATTGCTTATTCGCCAAGCATCCAGGTAAGTAAAATGAAAATAGAAAAATATTCTACATCGTACAGTCAGTTTTCTTCTAGGATATCCGCTACAAACTACAGCAGTGGATGGATGGGAGAGCTAGAGCTTCCCAGGAGAGAAAGTGCTTGCGAGATCGACTTATGAATGCTCCGCGTAAGACGCTTCATGGCCGCGGGCCTGTTTTCAAAGCAGCCAGATTAAATAATCTTAAAGCTGCTACTGCCGCTGCTATCGCCGCGCCTGAAATAAGCTTAATGACTTGATAGCGGAGTGGGTCGGCAATTCCAGTAAGACGAGTTTTCTAGATTTGTGAAGTAAAAATAAAAGAAGAAAAAACGAAGCGAAGCTTTATTTATTATGCTAGGTTGCAAGTTATAATTTTCTTACGCTCGTATTAAAGTAAATATTCGATTTTAAGTTTATTTATTCGTCTCTGTCAGTTGTAGCCAACATTCTTTACGTACAGATCAAACCACAACACAATCTCCCAAAATCAGTGTGAGTATATAGAACATAAAACACTTTGTGCCATATGGTGCTCTTGTTAAGCGACATGATATCTATCACGATTTCTTTCGCGTCTAAAGTAAATACAGTAACATCAAGTTTGTTTCCCCTCGGTTTCCTACAGAGTTTGCGCTGGGGCCTGTTAGCGATAAAACAAGTCGTTTAGCGAGTCATTCGCCTGTTTTCACCCGTTG